TCTCTGAGCTGAGCCGTTAGCTGAGCTGAGATACATAGACAGCGACTCTTGCCAGATATGAGGAGAAGAAGAAGAAGGGAGAAAAAAACCGCCCCCTCAGTTGCAGCCATAGACATGAGCAAATTCACCGAGATAATCCAGGCGCCTGTTGTATTTATCTGCAGGTTAGATGAATAGGAAAGGGCCAGGAATTGGGTGCAGGGGTGAGTGAGGGTGCGGCTCTTTAAACACACCCAGACAGTCACTCGTCTGTTGCCTGTTATCATCCACATGTGCAAACAAGGCATATATGCAGCTTTGAACATACGCTCTGTTGTCTGGAACAATTGGCATTAGCTATACTTCGTATCCTTCGACATATGGATGAAAGCTTTGATCAGATGAGAGGCACAAAAGAGTAATGCATGAAAATGATTTAGCATGCATCTAGTGACCTCATCGCAGGTTTGTCGGGTAGTCAGTGGGACACGGCTCACCTATTTTAGCTCATCGCACTCACGTCTCCCTCCTCCTCCTCTCCCTTCCTTCCCTCATCCCTCTGTCTTGCTCCTCCCTGATAGCTTTTACCGCTCTGCTGGTTTCACAAATAGGCCTCATTGATTGAATCTGATTCTTGTGGATAGAGCAGCTTTATTGAGTGGCTTTTTCGCTGATGGACAGGAGCATGTGGGTGTGTGTGTGTGTTTGTCTCGCTCATGCATGCGTGCATGTTTGGGATGATAACAAAAAACTTCCTTTCCTCATCCCCTTTCTCACTCTGTAATCCAGCAGCTAGTCCTCTCTTGGGAATTTCAGCAGCCAGATCATTACAGACAACCACACACACATACACAACACACACAGGCCTAGCACTGCCTGTGTCTGAGCTAATGATTTAGAATGGGTGATGAATGCTGACTGAGGAGTGTATTCATTTTTGGCGTCACCTTGAGCAAGGCAACATTAAAGTGTTAACTGCTCTCTGTGGTGCTGTTCATCAAACCTTCATCAGAGATGTGCTTCTGTGGTACACGATTTAAAGCAAGATGATACAACTTTTGCTGAGTAGCTGCAACAGCCGTCTCTGTGGCCACAACTGTATTTTGTATTTGGCTAATCGGATTGACTGGAATTAGATGCTTGGAAATAGTCTCATTGCTTCTGCCATGATAATTATACTGAGAACATCAAATCAGTTTTAAGCTATTCTGAGGTAAAATAGATTAATCATGTCAATCCAACTTCACTCTAGCCATCTCACCAGCATTGTCTGGTGATATTAGGTTTCTCCCAATCTTACCCCTCCTGTCTGCAGCCATTTGGGATTTGCCATTATAGTTGTTGCCCTAACCAGAGTTCTTACATTGCAAACACTTCTCAAACAACCACAGAGAACAAAACCAGAGAAAAGCAGTGAGACGTTGCTGTAGGGAATTTGTATTTTGATGGGGAAAGATGAGCTTGTTTCAGATGTAAATCAGTAATGATCTGTTGGGGTTTGGGGGCTTTAGCTAACAAACTGCGTTAGCGAGAAGATAGAGCTATATCAGAACCACTCCACTGGGGATACACACATTTCACACACAGCAGCGCACACCTCATCCTAGCAGCAGCATCTGTGCTCTTCCACTTTTGCTGCCCTCTATTTTGCGCCTCTCTCCTCTCAACAGGCTCTATGCCACCTATGCCGAGTTGGATGGATGGTGGCACCCTCTTCCCCCGCGCCCATTTAACCCCCACAACCCTGCCGATCCATCATCACACACAAACACACGGGCAGCCCTAACATTCATATCGCAGCATGCACTTTTACTGAGCCTGCTGCCAGGTCCCCTGTGCTCCCCCTTCTTGTATCTTCTTGTATTCTATCGTCTACAGTCTTATCTTGTGAGAGAACAGCCCACCTCTAATAGCTCCAAAATGTCTTCATCCCCCCCCCCCCCTGCATTTGAAAATGCTGGTCCTCTCACAATCTCTTTTAGTGTAGCCACAAACACACCAAGGATCTGTGTTTCTACAGTGTTTCTCCCTCACAATATTTTACTTAAGATGTTTTAAAATATATCATGTACATCAGTATCTTAAATCTAATGTTGTCTATAGCTTTGAATGGTAAGCTCAGCTATAAAGTTCAATGTTTCATTCACCTCTTCCCATTGTTTGCTGCTTTTATATTTCATTTGACTGAACTAATGTATCGATGGTAACTATCAATATTTTGGGACCTCAGGAGTTTCAGCTGAGAGAGGTTGTGCTGATCTGAGTGAAATATTTGACATGTTCCCTCAGATGATGGAATAGATTATTCGCATTATGTCTGAAAGTGCTGACCATTGACCAACAATATTTACATATAATTAGCTGAACCACTTCCACACTACTGATGTTGTCTCCTTTGCTGGCACCAACTACTCATCCACCATTCTGCCAGCTCACATAAAAACATTTTTTTTTTTTTTGAAGAGACCCTGTTAAAGAGACACATTTGGCCAACCAGCCCAGCCACAGAGTATGCAACCATTCTGTTGATTTGTGAGTGTAGTCCTGATCCATGTTATCAGGGAAGAAATATTCTAGTTGGTACAATGGTAAAATGTCACAGTTTCCTCGAAAACTAGATTGTGGGTTTGCTCAAGATAAATCATGATATAAAATCTTCAGATTGCCTATCCATAGTTTGTAGACTGCCGGCTGGTGTGTTAGGGAAAAGCTTGTGACAAGTAAAATTTCTGCAGAATGGATAGTTTTGTCTAGCAAGTCGGGCTTGGCCCACTTCCAAAGAACCACTGACACAGTTTTTGGGGAGAGACTCACACACACAAAGAAAGAAATGGAAAAAGCGACTGTTTGGTTCTTGGGAGTCATTAGTACATTTTAGCAGACTTGTGGGGTTTGTTTGTTTAACTTTTTTTATATTGTACAAGGTTGTAGAGGACATGGTCTGGTTTCATTTGTGATGTAAGAAACTAAAGAGGGACACAGAAAAGAAAGAAGCAAAGATAAAGATGAAAAATGGGATTTAGTACTGTTTACTTTTCGCTTTTAGGTGTGTTAGGCAGCTGTTTCAGGCCTTGTGTTTACATAGGCAGGAGAGTCTTCTTGCCCATGTCAACTACTGAACTCAGCCATGTTCAATTAGCTTAGTGTTTGTATCGCTGTTGATGCTACATGTCAAATGGTCCACTCTTCTCCTCCAGTGGAAAGGGGACACATTAAGGCGTATCAACTATAAAGAACGTGTATGTTTTAGAAAAAAAGTTTAAATCCTTAAGGAAAGCTAATTTAAGGATAATTAATTTTGGCTCTATTTCATGTCCTGCCTCATGCGTGCCCTACACAGACATGACCCCTCATCTGAATGTTTAGACATTTTCTTGTTGTTGTGAACACGTCTGACCCAGACAACCTCCTGCTACATTCATCATAAGTTTAAGGCAAACTCCATAGAATTACCGAACCTACACCTGGAGTTTATGTCTGAAAACATCAAATTTTCACCAGTAGAAAAATCTAAATCATGTATGTTGCATCTCTTTTTTTGCATTCCAAGCCTTTTGTCTGTCTCTGCTGCGAAAGTGTGACTTTGAAAAAAATGTCGGTGTATCTTTGTATTTTAAGACTCCCCCATTAAAAGAAAAGGGAGACAGCACTGTGGAGGTAGAGAAGGAGAGCGAGAATTTCCTTGCTTCGTTAATTGGCAGCTCTGTGGTACACTAAACATCACACACACACACACACACACACACACACACACACACACACACACACACACACACACACACACACACACACACANCACACACACACACACACACACACACAGAGCTGAATACTGTGACTGCTTTGAGGCCACTGTCTTATATTTAGTCAAGGGAGACCAGCCTCTGTCACTTTCTCTTGCTTAACCTCGCTCTTTCTCTTCCTCTCTCTGTGGCTGTGCTGTAGAGGAGTCTCAGGGGAGGGCTTAACTCTGAGCCCTCGTTCTTTTTCTCCCTTTCTTTCTCTCCCCCTCCATGTCTTTCTTTGCTTATCGTTGTCTGAATGGAGCCACAGACTGTTGTTGAACTGTGAATTAGTCCAGCAGACAGACTCTAAGCAGCGAATAGAGAAACGGAGGAGGTTCGGTATCTGCCTCTCTCTGCTTTTATTACTGCCACCACCAATACCAACAGGCTGGTTGGCCTTACTGTGTGTGTGCAGGTGATGCGTTAACATGCAAATGCAGAGTGCATGTACGTGAGCTTTTGTATTTGTGAGTTGAAATGCTGAGTGAACACATCACATCAGTAAAAAAAGCATGAAATCAGTTGTTCATTTAAGGGGGATCTGACGATAGCGAGGCATCACATGCTCGTCTTTGCACCCTTCAGGAGAGTAATTCACATTAGGCCCTGCTTAAATTATGATGTATAACCTGGAAAATCACTGGGGCTTTTGTGTTGTCATGGTTATTGAGTGTTCGTTAGCTTCAGGGGAAATGGAGTTGGGGGGTGGGGGGGTGGGAGGAGGGGCACTATCTTAATTGCTTTCTGTGAATAATTTCAGTCCCCTAATTTGGCAATAATGACAGTGGCTGCTGCTTTTGTATTTATTTATCCAAACATTAATTGACAGGACTGACATTAACCAGAGTGGTTATTGCGCATTTGATTGCGCACAAGGGAGCAACGAAAATTACAGTAATTATCATTCTGATATGGATTATGAATATGCATTCGCACACTTAATGTCTCTGTCAGCATTTTAGCTAAGACAAGGCACTCCGCCATGACAACAGCACTTTAGCTCATCTCCATCTCCGTTCCCCCCTTTGAACCCAGTCCAACCAGTGCTCGCGGAGAAACAGATGACATGTCGTGTCCAAATGATTTAGCTGTAACTGTAGCCTTTTAACAACACGGTCATGTAGTGCGGTGAAACGGTTGTCATGTGGATTGTTTGGGCCTCTGCTTGTGTGTAATTGGTGTGTTGCTTGTAACTGTGGTGAGACACTAACGTTTTCAATTTTTTTTTTTTTACAGGCGGAGGGAGAAGACAATTTGAAGAAGATGCAGCTGATGGAGCTGGCGATTCTCAATGGGACGTACAGAGACAACAACATCAAATCACGTAAGTGAGCTGCCATGAGAACGCACTTAGCCACACTTAACATACTCCATCATTTTGTACCATACACAACTAATCTTTTTTACTGCATAGATCATACGTACATATATTGTCTTTCTTATTAACTACTACTGTTAACTTTCATCAAGCAAGTGTGTAAACAGATCTCCTGTGTATATACCATCGTATTATCTCTGACCACTAGCAGACATCTCTCTCCTTCTCTCAAGCTCTACAAACCATTCATGTTAACCTACACAACCATGAGTAGGACAACTTCCATTCTGTTCTTCTTCGTATTTCTGTCCTCCATCCCTCCATCCATCCATCCATCCTTTTCCCCTGCAGTCCAGATGCAATCGCTTTTTATCACCTGCTCTTTAGGACATTGCTGTTCTCCACCTGCTCAACTCTGCATGTTAGGCACTAGTTTACACATCTAGTGTTTGCTCTTTACTCTTAAAGTGTCATTTCTAAATGCATAATTGCTTTTAAACTCAATCCAGATCTTATGAAATTACTCAGATTATTGATTACGTAATAAATGAATATCCAAACTTTAATTTAATTAATCAGAAAATCTTCACATTTTTGAAATGAAACCCTTTAAGTGATCCATTTCCATGTTTAGTTTTCATCTGCTCAAATTGTACCCGCCACAATGAAGTGTCCCACCACCTAACCACAGTTACCATTGCGCTTGATCTGCCTTTGGTGAAGCTTGTGTGGCGCAGCTCGCACCACATGCTAACACACAACCACTTGAAATATGATACTGTGGGTTTATCTGTACATTATCCAACCTAAATGGACTGCTGACTTTGTAGAGGAACAACATTCATTTCATTCACTATAAAGTATAAAGTGTCACATTTTCCCCCAGTGACCTTCATGTTCAGTTCAATCTGCTTGTTTGTGTCCTCCTCTCCATGAAGTCAAATGCTCCATTTCTGTTGGTGTGTTGTTTACCTCACCTGTGCCATTTCCACTTGATGAATGTGTGGCTGCTGTGGTGACTGGTATGCTTTGAATGCACTGGGATGACAGCAGCATTTGTGCTTCTTGTTTATGGTGTGTGGGTTATTTTTTTTATTTTAGTTTTGCTATGTTGACTTTTTCTTGGCAACAGATTGTGGCTTTTGTGGTTCACCACCATGATCATTGCATGGACTAATTTTCCTTTTGTTCCCCCTCCCTCTCCCCTCTCTCCCTGCCACTTCCTGTTCCCCCTTCTTCTTCTCCTTTTGTATTTTCACCCTTCACTGTTCATCTGTGATTATGATCAACCACACTACACTTTATCTCTTTTCCTTTCTTTCTTTCTTTCTTTCTTTCTACTGCTGTCCTTTCCTCTCTTGCTTATGGCAGCCACCCTTGCGTTCTCTCTTGCAGCGGCGGCAGCAGCCGCTCAGGGCCCCCGCCTCATAGCGGCCTCCACAGGTCAGGTGTTGCCTCCCCCTTCACTTCGGCCCCCAACACCAGCCGGGGCCCCCATCATGAACCTCATCCGGCCCACTCAGATGGCTACCATGCTGCCTAATGGCACGCCCACACTGGTGCCTCCCACACCGGATGGCGGGCTTATCTACACCACCCCTTACGACTACCCTTACGCCCTGGCACCCACCTCCCTGCTGGAGTACCCCATCGAGCACAGTGGGGTTCTAGGTAAGAGAGCCTGGGGAAGCATGGGTGCGGCAGGTACAGCATTCAACTTTAGCCAGCCTGGACAGGAGGGGAGCTTGTTTTACCCCGGAGTTGGGGTGCTGGACGCGGCTTCCATGAGCCACAGTCAGGACTTTTTGAAAGGTAAATATGTCGTGTCCACCTGAAAAAAAAAAAAAAAACTCACAGGGTGGATGTGCTGGTGAAACCCTTGGTAGTGGGATGTCCAGCTTCAGAATGTGGCTCATATGGACACTATATTAAAATGGAAAAAGGGGGACAAAACTTACCTTGTGTGGGCTAGGCTCTTGGAAAGTTAGTATTTAGACTGAGGTTACTTCACTGTTTTAAGTTATGCTCTCGCTAAACAGTTATGCTCTCAGGTTGACATTGCCTCTTTTCTGCAAGGTTTATATAGGAGGGCTTGGCTCTGTGTGAAATGAGGCACGTGGACAGAAACACACTGGCATACACGCAGCCTGCTCTCTAACCCTTTCATGCACTGGCCTGGAGGCATATTCAGTCTGGCAGCAGATCCCCTTGGATTTCTGCAGCTTTTGAAATAATTTCTCTGCACTGTTCTCTGCAGGCAGGCCTTGATGCCTGTAGATAGTCCCTCTCTCACCCCCACTGGGGATGTTCATTAAATTCCTCCAGTCTTCCCTTTTTTCTCCTCCTTCCCCTCTCTCCATTGTCTTAGCCTCACCCCTCTTGAACTTGAGCTCAGTGCGAGTAGCACCTGACATCCCTCTTAGTTTCTGTGTCAGGAGTACAGTTCAGTATCAGGGTCGATGTATTATACCCCTTCTCAGTGGTGCTTTAAGCTCAACACATCTGCTACCAAAGAGACACATCTACGGATGAAATCATCTGATATGAACGCCATATGTCGAAAAACAAAAATGCCTTGTCACTTTGCAGCTTTAATTCGACAAAGTGCTCCTCTAACGTAGTCCATGAGTGTGATTTTAGCTGACCTGTGGATACCTGTGGTAGTCATGTGTAGAACAGACGGGAGCAGCTGACTGGCTTTTCCCTCTTTAACTTGCAGGGTTACACCAGCTTAGTGCATTTTATTTACTCACACTATCGATCGGTGCCTTCAGCAACACAGGGCCCTGTGGAGCATACTCGCGCACGTACTCGTGCACTTTGCTCGACCGCATGCGCAACTGTATCTAGCTGCCATTGGCTTCTCAGAAAAAAGAAATGTCAGGACATCTGTTGCTTCAGAGCCTTGTTGGAACAAAATCCTTACATTTATAACATATTTTACCTTTTTTATTTCTTAATTCCTGCGCTCATCCCATTTTTTTGCAATACTTCAACATACATTGACACACACAGTTTGTTTTGTGTCATGTATTCAAAGCGGTGCCAGGCACTGCAGAGGAAAGAAATGAGTTGTGACAAATATAGGAGGTAAATGACAGCCCCTGCCGCCAGTGAACAGATTGACCTGGAAAGGAATGGTGAAAGAGGGGAAAGAGAAAATGAAAGAGAAAGGGAGAGGCAGGTGGTGTCTGGCACTTTTCAATTACCATCAGAGCTGTATTTGATTCCCCCACCTTTCAAAATAAAGAGACAAATTCCTCTCAATCCCACTCTGGATCCCACAGGACCAATCCCGTTTTTTTTGCGGACAGCCCAGGAGCCTGTAGCCTTTACCTGCCCTCTTTTCAAAGAGTCCTCTATATAACTCTGAGCACTGTGGAATTTTCCTACTTAAGTTATGCATTTTTAAATACCATGAAAAGGTGTATAATTTTTTTCTACTGCATTTTTCTACAAGTAAGAAAGATATGTGTGGTGTGTGTATATGTACTATAATCTGTATTATGTTGCTATTCTGTGTATTGTTGTATTATCCAATCATTATAATGATAATGGCTAAAATGTGAATGTTGTTACTGTAAAAGATGACTGTTTTTTTCCCCTCCTCTAAGTGAATGGTTTCTAACCTTGTGGACCTGTTACAATCTAGGTGCAATGGCTACTAAAGTGAGACGGCATGACACGCGGGTCCATCCTTACCAAAGGATTGTGACCGCTGACAGAGGTCAGTTTAGTCTATTAGCTACACTCTGCTATTGACTGATGCATTTCAATGAATATTATGCCTATTATGCCTCGATGCCTTAGTTGGGAATTTGCATATTGTCTATTTTTGTTAGTTTTGTTTTCCTCTCCTCCCCCACCACCACCACCACCTTTCCTACCCCATACATCCACACGCCAGCTAAATGGTTGATTGTGGTATGCACATTTGTTTACATTTAGTACTTAACATATATAAAATATATAAAGACTATGTTAATGTCAGAGCTCAGGCAAAAGTGATGTTAGCAGCTTTTGCAGCTGTTTGCAGCAGCAGCTTATGCAGCTGTGAGGCCAGACAGGTTGATCTTTGCAAGCAGTGTTGACGGTGTATAATGACATTCCTCTGATGCGAGATAAGAGCCTAAACTGGGACAGGCTTGTTCCCATTCATGATTTAACTCCTTTGTTCATAAGGAGCAAAGAAAATAGGAAACTCATTTCTATATTGTATGTGAGAGAGCGAGCAGGCAGAATAAAAAACAAGTAGCCGTGCTGCTACCAGGCACCATTTCACCTTGAAATTTAAATTTATTTTGGATTTTTATTTTTCTATGGAAGACAGACACGCACAGACATGAGCGGAGGTAGCTTGCATCGTCTCCAGTGTATTTGCAAATATATTGAATAAAGCTAAAATACATTTTTTAATATTTCAGTTGTACACGAGGTACTGTCATTTTATATTTGAGCATTTTATATCAAATGTATTTATGGTTCTTGTGTATATTTATATTATATAAAAATATACTGCTAAATAAAGAGAACGAATCGGAAAGCATCGATTCATCTATTCATTGCACATTTAACACTAGTCACAGTTATCCCTCACATAACATCAGTTATTTAAAGTCTCCTTACCACTAATCACACTGTTTGTAACTTGCACTTCAACCTGAAATACACTAAAACACTAGACTCATGTTTTTATGTTAGTTTGTCTGTTCACTTTCTCTTTGCTTCTGTTTTTTGGGGGTTTGGGGACAATTTGCGCTTAAATTAAACCGCCAGGCAACATGACTCAGGGTGGGGGCTTAGTGGCTGGGATCATGATGCGACAGCGTCATGATTATAATGAGATTAGCTGGGTTCATCTCATATGGGCAGGGGAGTCAGGAGCAGGGGGCAACATGAGAGATTGCATTCATTTTATTGTTAAAATGATGTCATTCCAGTCTCTTCTTGCTGACACTAATATCCTTTCTATCTTTTTTTTCTGTTTGTTTTGTTTTTGTTTCTAACCACCTAGCCGCCACCGGCAACTAACACATGACCTTCTGACCTCTGAACTCTTCACCCAATGACGAGCCGCCCCAAGCCTGCCTGCTGATCAGTTAACTGGTAATTGCCTTTTGCTAGCCTCTCGGACGCAAGTGAGAGAGAGAGAGAGGCGCCTGCCCGTACAGTTACCCTAACACGTTCTGACAAAAAACAAACAAATAGAAACCAACGCAGAATCTTCACAGAAACACAACGAAACCCAACAAAGTTGTGTAGAATTCATTTTTTTCCCTTGAGTTCAATTCCCATTCTTTCTCTTTCTTTTTCTTCATGAATCATATACTGGGTGGATGTGTTGTGGTATTACTCATGAATCTGCACTGAATTATATAGCAATAAAGCCCCCACCCCACCCTGACCACCCACTCCCCTGTAACTGCTCTGATTTGGTGACCTCACTTGTACGAGTCCAACTTCAATAACATTTGACGCAAACCATTTGGTTTCAGAGCGATGACATAACCCCTTTAAAATGTGCATCTGCCCCTTCCCCAAAAAAATTTAAAAATACTGAAGAGCCCCTACCTGCTCCCACCCTGTTACACCACTCATCTGTCAGGAGAGAAAAAGAAATAGAAGGAAAGAGAACACACACTCACATTAACTTGTTTAATTTCTGTCATTTTTACATGTTGAGCTCTAAGATGTAATGATGAGCTGACACATTCTGGGTGTGCCCCCTCAAAACAGCTTCCTGTCTGTTTTTAAAAAAGCATGGCTGAAATGATTGCAAAAGAAGCTTTTTATGATTTATGTGTTTTCTCCTCTGTCTTGTGTTTTTTAGTTTTTAATTTTGTTTTACTTTTTGAGTCATTTTCTCCATTTGATTTTGGTTTCTCTGTTATTCATATTTGACTAATGAGTTTTGCTAAAATCGACTAAGGCAGGTGGTTTTCTCTGGAAAATAAAATGCAATCTGATGTTCGAAGCAGGCTGCAAAAAGCTAAGAAATTATGAAGGGCAAGATGGGAAGGTCAAAATTGGGCTGATGTGTGTGTGATTTTTGTTTTCATTTTTTTAATTAATACTACAATGAAAGTAGGGTGTGCTGAGGCTTCGGGGTCAGCTCTTGGGGCAGCGCTTATAAGCTGCTGCCCATTGCTACACCCCCATCCACACTACATTCATTTTACAGTGCCTGATGTATTTAGAAAAATATCTCGATGAGTTAGCTGAGCTGTGATCAAAAAGACAAAAAAAAGTATTAAGTGTGCATATTTAGCCAAAGGGTTTTCCAATGAATTATATATCTGCAATTATGCATCTGTCCGACAGGGCTCTCTTTGTGATTTTAGAGTTTAGGGTGTGAATTTGTGGTGCCTGCCTTCAGCTGGAACAGACAGTCGGTCAGTTTAATGATTTTTTTGACCCATTGATGCTCCATTTCTTCTGAGTAGGTGAACGATATTACGGCTTTTAACACTAAATCAACATGCTACTCAGTAACAGTATGTTGCTAGGGGGAAGGGCACTTACAGTTAGGAACATAAAAGCTTTCGTCAGGATTCTATATTGAGTTGTTTCATCAGCCACGTTGCCAAATAGGTGTTTGTTTTATTTTTACATCTCAACATTTGGCCAATTTTTGAACAGACCTTCTTTTTTTTACACCAGGTAAACATTTTCCATCAGTAGGGGCATTAGGTTGGGATAATCTGAGCCTTCCTGCAAATTAGAAATTCAACTTTGAGTTTGATCTCTTTTCGAGATGAAACATTTACTTTTTCAACACATGCCAAACCATCCAAAAGCGCATCCACAATGTGTCACACTTCCCTGTGATCATAGTATAGATCCTGAGCCCCATGGTCTTGATTTATTTTTTGTTTAACTCTCTCAAGAAAAAATAGGATGTGAAAGCCATGCCTGCCTGTTCAAATTGCTTTATACATACGTCTTATATATATATATAAATATATATATAAATATATAAAAATGTAGATAACTGTCATTGCATATACAAATACAGAAGAGAACAAAAAATAGATAATTTTACAGGGTGCTGGAGAAGAGAAAAAAATTTAAAAATCTATTTTTGGCAATTTTAGCTTTTGATACTTTACTTGCATTTACAAAATCTGAAAAAATCTAATAAAAAGAAAAACAGTATATGGAGAAAACAGAAATACTGAGTGGGTGAGGAAAGGAGGTGCTGTTACCTGGGAAATGATTGGAAAGGAGGATGAAGACCAAAACAGTCATAACCTTTGGGAAGTTAGCGAGGATCAGAGCAAGACACGGAAAGTTAAAAAAAAAAAAAAAAGAGGATCAAATCAAAAGTGCCTTATCAACAGTGGTTTCTGTTTTCTGAGTGTTCCAGTTGTGTTCAATAATATCCAGCACCCACCAAGTGGCGCAGAGAGGAATGGCTAGTGTTACATGCTCTGAATAGTCGAGCAGGGTAGCTGCCACCATATCGTGGTGTTACCGAAGTTATTCTATGCAAAAAGAATAGCAGTCGTTTTGACCAGCTAAAATATGTGCCATGGTTTTGTCTTCCTGAATTTCTTTTTCCTTTACTTGACAGCCCTTTACTCTGCTGTGTGAGCAGCTTTTGTTCTCTTTTTGTTTAGATTTTAAATATGAAATATTGTCTTGATTTATTTTGTTGTCGGTGACTGTGACTACCTTCCTAGAACAAATTTAACTGCCAATAGCAAAGCGGTAGTCTGCCACAACATTTTTTGACCATGAGCTGAGAAAAATACAAAACGTTAGAGAACGGAAACAAAAGGTTGGAGGGGTCGTCCTCTGTTTGCATTACGCGTTTGTTTCAACAGCTGCAAACCGAAAGAATGCAGTCCATGTTCTGATGTCAATTTAACTTAAAGAAACAATCATGAGATTAATATGGACGAATATAAAAACAGCTGGTTAATGAAACGACAGCCCCAGTTTTCAGTTATTGAAACAAGTGACGGGTTATCACTGGAAGGTAAAACAAACTCATCATATTAAATTGAGAGAATTGTTAGATCCCAATATTTCCCCCCCCGGCAGTTTGTATTTCTATTCATAGCTCTTTCATCATGCTGTTACACCGAAAGGTCAATGAAATTTATTTTTTCTCTTTTTTCAGTGTTATTTTAAATTGAAATGCAATATTAAAAGAAAGTGGAGCAAGTGATGGCTGTTCAGCATTTGACAGTATTAAGAAAATTCCCTCTGCAATGTTACAACTTGCTGTGTCATTGTGAAAGGCTGGATTAGTCCATCAGGTGAAAGGTGAACTCTATACCTACCGTATTCTCTCTGGCCTGCCTACTACATGTATGATAATGTAATTAACAGCCATTGTTACAGGTTTATAATGTATTTTTCTAATCTCATTTTATATGTATATTAATCATGTTTCTGAGTGCTTCTTTTCTTTTTTTTTTTTTTTTTTTAATGAAACACACTGCTTCTTTTCTCCCCCCCTCCTAAACGTCCCTCTCTTCCTCCCCCTCTTCTCTTTCCTCATCTTGGAAACTGTCTCTCGTGGGGAGTGTTGCCTTTTTCCCTGTTATATTTTGTTTTTGTTTTCTTGCCAATTCCCAGCTTGTTTAACTCATTAGCTACTTTATTAGTTTTTTCTTGTCATAAGTATTTTTACATGCTTGCATTTAGTTTTCATGGTGTATGCTGTTATTTTTTCTTATTAACCTCTTGGCATTTATTTTAATAAAACATTCTTAGTAAGAATTTTACTAACTTGCTGATATTTTGTCTTGTGTTTTTAACCAGTTTCATGAATGTATTACCTTGGTCTGGTTCACGGACTAACACAATTAAAACTGGTGTCTGGCCACCACTTACACTGACTGATGACATGCACACTACATGAACACACACCCCAGTCATCTGTGCACATACAATCACTCCACGCACACAACCTAACTGGAAACTGCACGAGTTGATAAGCGTCCCTCGCTGCCGCTCACGCACTCTCACCTCTGCTGGAGAAATCTGCTGACACCCTTCACACTTGCCCTCCGCTCAGCCTCAACACCGCTGCTGTGTCTCGTCGTCCCTGTTAGAGACAACTCTCTCTCGTTAGTCGTCCTGTGTCACTGACCTCGCCAGGCAGGAAGTGTAGCAGTGTCTGGCGGGAATGGGCGGGGGGTGTAAAACTGCACGTTACTTGAGGTCACTGGTTAACTCTTGGGTCAGCTGTCCCCTCTCGAACAAAGATTAAAGGGCGGGTGGGTCTGTCCTTTCACAAAAGATAGTCAAAACAAAAAAAAACTAATCCCTTAAGATAAAACTTCAGTTTTTCATCTTTCTCTGGGCATTCGTTCTAATCTGTGGAAAAAAACCACTGCATGTGAATCATCTCAAAAGGCTTAATTTTACTGTGAATATGTAGAGCAGAACATCTCATCAGCGCACAGTGTAGACGTATTTACGACAGACACAGGGACACATTTATAGATGACAGTAAATGTGATCATCTAAAGCCGTCCCCTGTCTTTTTTTATGTTTTCCTCCCCATTGCCTCCATGGCTTGTTATGCTGGATAGCAGCATTACAGTTATCACCAGCTGTTGTCTGTTTGGTGAACATTCAGCTTATTGATATAACAGCTAATACTGGGCCATTTGGGAGCATCCATAATGCTTAGACACACACCAGTACCACCGTGCCAATATGAAGTACTTTGGGATCAAAACGACCTTACTATTCCTTCCAGTGTAAAACGCTGATATGGCTTCCAGCTAGCCAGTATTTATTGTTTTTGTTTCCGTTGGTCTGAAACACTGCCAGTGTGTGTTGTTCATTCTACTGCTGTGTCAGTGCACTCATCCCCGGGTTCATTCAGCTCTCTTCTCTCTACTCGGCTTTCCTCCCTTCTCCCCACTAATTCAAGGTATTGACACTGACACACAAGCAAAAGATTAACTTCATTAATCCTGATTAGTACTTTAACCCACTGAGTGATGCCTCCACTTTTTTTCTTTCCTTCCTTCCTTTCCTTTTATTAAAATATGCACAACAAAAACAACTTGGCCATAAACTGTTGTGATTCTCTTCATGTCTCAGCGAGCAAAGAACGAGGATTAAAAGTGTCTAACATCAAACTTAACATTTCTCTCCCGCGCTGAAATTAACATTTTGTGTGTTTGATCAGAAAAACGGGTGTTTTCGCCTAAAACACCTGCTCGTACACCAGCAAGTAGAGACAGAGATTGGATTACTGGCAACAAGCTCAAATTGATTTTTTTCTCCCTCCTCTGTACATTTGGTGTTATCAGTTTGTTTTTTAATTTATTAACGTAGGATTGGCCTTTGATGTCTTTGATTGACTCCTCCTTGTAATGAGCAACTTAAGCCAAAATCCGTCCGTTAGCAGTCGTTACATTTACGCTGTCACAAGCCCCGCCTTTTACATATCAGACGTTTTCAGGGGCTCGCCTTGAAAACCAAGCTGATGGATAAAAAAAAAGGAAATGATGGACGAGGGATTTTCTAAAGCACAAGTGTTACAAACACTGCCTAAATATTGCATCTAAGAAAACATAAAATAAAAAGTGCCTTATTTACTGAGATTGGAAAATGATATATATTTTTGTACTTTATCATCCAGTGCCAATTTTCTGTCTCAGTTAATCTACCGGAAGCTTTTTTTTTTGTTGAGCACAAAAAACCCTAAATGCCCACGCTTTTTTTTCCAGCACAATGCACATAAACTTTGAAACATAAACCGGGAAAGGACGACCAAAGTGAGGAATTTGGTCTCCAGCATTTCCCTCCATTAAACTTTGGCTTAATGGCTCCTGTTTTCGATTTGATCCACTGAGAACTTGACACTTTTTGTCTGTTTTCTGATTGGACCACAGTATGCAGGAAATGGCTGCTCACATACTGCTGCCCCCTCTGGCCCCGAGTTCTCAGTGAATTTCCAAATCTGTCGCAGGGCATTCAGTGCATTTATCTACTAACTACCTTTTCACCTGTCGATCCTTTATTTCTTCTTCTGTTCTGTTTAACAAACATTCCTCCAATGAGTTAAACGGCAGGTTAACCAATCAGTATTGGTCTCAGCGATGTAGCAGGTGGTTAAAGGGCAAATACTACCAAAATACAGAGTGAGAAAAAAAATCAGCCCCACTGGATTTTTTTTGTTTTGACTGTGATGAATATAATACTTTTTTTTTCCTAAAACATTACTAGTATGATATATACTGTAAGTTCCTCATCTATATAGTGGTGCACTAAAATCTGTGAGATTTTTTTTTCGTGGAGTTGTAAGATTTTATGTGAAGTAGCTTTTATTTTGTTTTGTGTTTCCTTGTTTTTTTATTTTATATAGAGGGTTAGACTGAGAAAAATGAATAGGGTGTAAAACATGTAATGCCAGTTTTTGTTGCTCACACCAAAAACAAAAGAAAGGAAAACAAATGTCATGTGTGCAATAAAGAACCATATTTACAAGCTTCCCTCTGACTGCTCTACCTGGACTGGTCCTTTTGCTTCTTTATCGCCGACATCGTTTCTTTGGATTCGCTTCGGTTCCTGTGCATTTAAAGGTAGGTGCTCCGCGTTAGCTGGAAATAAAATGTGAAAGTTCAACACTGGCAGAATAACTTTCACCTATAAGTCCCAAGCCCTCTCTTGGATTTTTAGTGTGATGGCGGTTACACGATGGAAATGTTGACCTTTACTGATGGAGTTAAAACATTCTCTCTGCAGTTGGTCTTTAGAGGTCAAATACATTTTTTTGGGACATTTATTATCTGTGCCAAGGAACAACTGGCACATACATCCTCAGTGTTTGGTTCTAGTCTAGACGAGTCAGTTGTTCGTGCGGGACAGTTGACGAGAGGCAGTTTGACATCAGGTTAAAAGTTTGATGCTGCTTCTGCAAACTGAACCGACACCATCTAGAGGCGGGTTTATTTTAATAAAGGCTGACGTTAGACTGTGATGTGTCAGCCCCTCTTCATACTGAATGGGTGCACTGAAGTTCTTAAGTGTACGTGGAGACCCCAGACTCTTTTTACTGCTCTTAAAACACATTAAACATTGTTTTATTTTAAGATAAGATTTAATTTCATGACAACTGCTGAAGATGACAGAAAGTATTGTTTTTGTTCTCAGAGATCTCAGCTCTGATTAAATCTGTGTGTGATTGATATGCAACCGTACATCTCCCTAATAAATCCACAGTGTTTATTTTACCAGTGATCGTTTATATTTTATCATAAGACGGAATGTGTCTGGGACATCCTGCCAAACAAAACGAAAATCTATTTGTTTTGCATCACAATAATAATTTGAGAGCTCTGTCACATTCGTCATCGGAAGGGAATTCTTCGCTGTTTTAAATGTTTGGATGAGTTTTTAAGGATACTGATATTTCTACAGTGGTTTTCACACACAAGCTGCTTTCAGAGATGCACTGAAGTCCAGATGTTTTCCTGAAGTTTTCCAGAGGGGCAGATGTGAGAACACCAACGTCCGAGTCTGTTACTTCTGACAATCTCCTGAACTTTTCCTGCCAGCCCCCTGGTAAAATGTCTGGAAAATGTCTTGAGTGAAAACTGAGAATGCAACAGGAAAATGTGTTGACATTTCAAATGTGACAGAAGCAAAAGTGAAAAAAACAATTAAATTATTTTAGGATGAAAGAGAAGTTCCATACACATAGAAGACACAATGGAAGATGTCAACTTGGAAAGAGCAAGTCATTCCAGAGCTTTTGGCGATAAGGGCCAACACCGGTGTCGTGCTCTGAACGAAAACAAGAGATTGCCACAAAGGAATTTTTATATTTGGTCCTGTCTCGTGCACGCTCTACTCACACGCCAGATTTTCCTGACCACCTCCTACTCTGTTCTTCATATAGGAAAGGGAAACTCAAGAAAATGTCCAGATGCAATTTCAAAATATAATATCTGAAAATGGCCATACAGGAATAAGACCCAAACTGACAACAAACACCATTTGTCTATAGTGTTGCTTAATGTAATGGATTAATTCCATAATAATATCCTGTATATTTAGAAAACAGTGTCTGACAATTAGGAATGCTTTAGTCGTTAATTTAGTTAGTAATCTTAACCGAAGCATAATCCCATTAACAGCACAAATTTTTATTCTTAACACCTTAATCTGATTTCTAATCTACATTTTGCACACACACACACACAAACACACAAACACACACACACACACACACTGGATGCAAAGTGGAGTTTCTATGCTGATGTCTGCTGACGGCAACCACGGGTAGAAAAATAAAATCATCAAAACAGTTTCTTTTGTTTTCTTCTCTTATTTTGTGGTGTTAGCGAAATACAATTTGCCGCAGACATCCTCACACACGTCCTCTGATGACCACACAAATGAAACCGACTCTGGTTGACTGGTGGAGTCAGGTTCATGCAAAAGCACCCAGCAACAGAATGGACCTGTCGTTCCAGTGGGTAATTATCTCCACTCGTTTGTTAAAGCTGCAGTTTCTTCTCTTTTACACCCAGTGTGGTTTATTCACGTCCTGTGGGCTTCCTGATGACTTATGAACCAAGAGGAAGGAGAGGAGCCAGCTGTGGTCACACTGGGAAAGTAGAGCGGTTACATCTTATCCACGATAAGAATGCAGCAATAGAAAAAAACAAGAGGACTTTGAAGTGGACGTCTCCTTGTGGCTCAAACTGCAACTCTGCAGGAGAAAAAAAAACTAACGATGGGTACAAATGTCCCTCTCACTGCCTCTCTCATGCTCTTGTCCTCTTGCTGGAGGACAGAGCTGCTGCTGCTGAATAGGACAGTGGGGAGCAATGGTTCACGAGGGGGATGCTGGAAGTGACTTTAATGTCATGCAGGAAGCGAGGAAGAGCGGAGAAGAGAAAAGGAGGAGGAGGAGGAGGGTGCTGATGGTGGCTTTGGCCCCCGGGAAGATGCATCAAAGAAGCATTTGTCGCAGGGACCAGCTGGGAGTCTAATCAGAGAGAGAGAGAGAGAACTGGGGTTAGTGTGTGTGCATGTGTGTGTTTTGAAGGGGAAGAGTGGAAGGGTTGCATCAGTAGTGACAGATGAACCAGCTTCCTGTGGAATGAATATAGGGCATTCATCAGTGTGCAGCTGTTTCCCTCTCTCGCTGCCTGTGTGTGTGTGAGTGTGTGTCTGTGTGAGTGAGGGAGAGAGAGTTGTTTAGAGTGCACAGTTGTTGGAGGTTTGAAGCTCACATTGATGAATGAAACTCTATAGTTCTTTGGGCACCTGTGCCGAGTGACACAGTCTAGCAGCTGGATGCTGTGTGTTGGCGTCTGATTTAAGTGTGTGTGTGTGTGTGTGTGTGTGTGTGTGTGTGTGTGTGTGTTAAGAAAATGAGAGAGTGACGCACAAATTTAATTTATTTTGCATCAAGACAGAGAGCGAGAGCAGGCACTTCTTCAAGAATCATAACTGAGTCATTTCTGACTTTTCCTGAGATCCGTCTCTTCGTATTGTGAAGCTCAGGTGATTATTTCTGCTGAAGAGAATCTATCATTCTAAGAAAATCACACGTTTCCTGCCTCCGTTTGTCAGCTGTGAATAAAACATCAGGGAAGTTGAAAGATATGATGTGATCAGTGATGCAGAGATAGAAATTCTTTCAAATACAACATTTTGAGTACACTAATTCTAATATCTGATTACAGAGGGATAACTTTACTTTATTACTTAACCTGCATTGTACGTAGTTTACATTAATTTCTTGTTTAGATGAGCACTGCATAGTTAAGTTGCCTAAAGGGAACTGCCTATTGCCAGCTACAGATCATTAGAGCTGATTTCTGACGGAGGGAAGCAAAAGTCAGAGAGAGAGCCTCCGGAGTAGCTGCAGACCTTCTCCACCTGGCCTCCTAGTATAAAGTCTGCAGAAAGGCCATGTGAGAACACAGCAGGGGATCCTACGCTGGATTCACCACGAGGGAGTGGAGGGGGTTGATGACGCTTCTATGATCTCCTCAGTGGGTTCAGTCTACCTAAGGCAGCCTTATTGTGTGAAAGCCACATTCAGTGTTAAGTTAATATTGAAGTCATCCTAAATTAACTTACAAATGACATTTAAGGGCATTAATTCTGTCGTCTGTCATGGAAAATCCTCCCAACAACTCTGGTTCAAGTCTTAGTACCATCTATTTAATTAATTTTAGTTGGGATTTTTCCAGAGCCTTGTTTAATCTTCTGGTCAGTTGACATTTCCCAATGAACACAAAAAGAACAGTTGACCCATCAAATCACTGAGATCCACATTGCTGCTTGTATTTAAGGCCGCACTTCTCTCTATATACACAAGAATAATCCCTTTCTGTTAAGAAAACATTCTCACTGACATATGTTAGTGACGATACAGCACATGATAAAGCCATGGAAGTGTATTTTTAATTTGCTAATCACTTCGTATTTTAGTTGTATCAAGTTTTTCTTTGTAATACTTGATTTCCCAACGGCTTCATGTTTGACCACTGTTGACAGTTATGTTATTAGCATGTTCCCATTGCCGATGGCAGCGATGTTCTCACGACTCAACCTCCTCAACTTCCCAAATTATAACCACATGCTCACAAGTTCTGTTTGCAGGCAGCGTAATATTGAGATGATCACAATCTACGCTTGAAGCTCGGGCAAAGCTCATAATGCTAGTGATCACTTTGTTTCATTTTAGCATCCGTAAACAAAGCCAGTGGCTCCTCATGTACGACACTGAGCCCTGCAGCTGGAACATCCAAACTGAACGCAGCCGTTCATTTTATGAGTCACAGCTGGGCTCTCCTACTATGACGTGTCAAAATGTCTGCCGCGGGGAGCGCCTGTTGCCTAGGTTACATTCCTATCATATAGTTTACGAGACAGGAAGTGCCAAATACTGTCACAGGAACATTTTCAGTGCTGACGTCCCTCATGTTTAGGAAACATCAGTAAAAGCTGTTTTGTGGTGTAATGCAGCACTGCTATCGTCCGCACGTCTTGCTAGCTCCGGGCTCTTCTGCACCTTTTGTGTACCGCTGCACGTTCCTGCTGCTTTGCCCCTATTGTTGTCGATGAAAGCCGTGATGGTTTGAAAATAGGAAGGTAATGTGAAGAGGAACATCAGGAAACACAAAGCCGACGCACTGAAAAGCTCACAAAGTTCAAACCTTGCTTTCCTTTAATACAACTTCAGAAGCCGACCTTCCTCTGACCCGACTCGTCTTGTGTTTTTAACCCTGGACTCACAGAGTTCTGAAAAACCACGTCCTCACTTATCCACGAACACAAATACAGTCACAAAATGAGTATGAAACACCTCCCACCCTCTTTTCCCGAGTGATTCAGACTGAGAATCTTTATCTAGTCACAAGAATAACTCCTAATCCGACTTATCTGGGAAGTGTTGATGTGTGTGTGTACATGCACGCGCGCTGTGTGAGTGTGTATGTGTATTCTTATGCATAGCATGTGCAGGTGT